TATCCACTTCTTAAATTTAAGTGACATTCTCTCCATGCCTTGATTCTTCCACTGAAATAAATGGGAATATTAAATTTATAGAGTTGTAAAATTTAACAATGTGTGAATCATTTCATAATCATGAAACAGTACAAAAATCTTACTTGTTGCTGTTACACATTCCTTCTTGAGCATTTTTAGATGCATATTGGATATATTTTTTCAAAAAAATTCATAGTGGACTGGAGTGATAGCACAGCGGATAGGGCATTTGCCTTGCACGCAGCCAACCCAGGTTCAATTCCCAACATGCCATATGGTCCCTCGAGCACCTCCAGGAGTAATTCCTGAGTGCAGAGCCAGGAATAACCCTGTGCATCCTGAGCCATCTAGCATAGTGATAGAACATTTATTCTATCACTAATAAAAATAACATTTTATTTTTTAAAAAAATTTTAAAAAATCATAGCCCTAGAGAGATAACTCAAAGAGCCAAGTTTATCTTTGCATATGGGTCCAGGATTTGATCCATAGCATCTGAACCCCTCTTGAAGCAAACCCTGAATGCAAAGCTGAAAATAAGACATGAGTACTGTTGGGTGTGCTCTCCCCAAATAAAAAAAGATTTATAAAGGTTTGAGAAAAGGCTGCTTAATATAAGAAACAAAATATCGAAGTCACGGGCTGGAGAGATAGTACCGTGGGTAAGGCACTTGCTTTGCATGTGGCTGGCCCTGATTCAATTGCTGGTACCCATATATTGCAATGAGCCTCATCAGGAGTGATCCCTGAGTGCAGAGCCTGGAGTAATCCCTGAGCACTGCCAGGTGTGACGTAAAAACCAACAAACCAAATTCACAACTATGAAATGATAAAAAGTCCCCTGAGCATACCATCTCAGCATCCCATATGGTCCCTCAAACACTGCCAGGAGTAATTCTTTAATGTAGAGATAGGAGTAACCCCTGAGCATCATTGATTGTGGCCCCAAAACCAAGAAAACAAAAACAAAACAAACAGAAAAGTCCAGGATAAGGGATTAGATTCATAAATCACTTTAAGTTATTATATAAAATATTATTTTGTGGGGGCATACCTGTTGTTGCTTGGGGATTGCACCTTGTGGTGAATGGGGGACCATAAGGTACCAGGGATAGAATCTGGGTCTTCTGCATGATGTACTCAGCAAGTTGAGCTATCCTTCTGGAATATGAAATTTTTTATTATTTAAATATGGATCGTACACTCTAATAGCATTAATCATCTCAATAGTTTAGTTTATCCACTAAACTATCTCTCCGGCCCCCTCTATTTAAGTCCTTTAAAGTGAGAACAAACTTTTGGGAAAGAAAAATTTTCCATGACTATTGGCATTTACTATCTAATCATGAAGTTTCTTTTTCAGTAATTGAGAGACAGATCATTGCTATGTTTAAAGAGAAACCACTAGGCTGGGATGTAGCTCCATTGCAGAGTGCTTGCCTTTCATGTATGTGTGAGATATTGGGTTCAATCCTAGTATTTCAAAAATAGATGGAAAGATGCTCCAGTGGTTAAGTCACATATCTTGCATGAAGTTAACGCCAGCTTGGTCTCCAGCACCATCTAGTCCCCTGATCACCATTAGCGTAGTTCAGAAAAACCCTGGGACCGCAGCACCTGAGAAGCACTGCAGCCTTGGACCCTCATATTGATCCTGGCTGTTTGGCAGAGAATCACCAGCAGGGGCCCTGCTGAGCACTGTTTGGAAGGCCAAAACAATTAAAATAATAAATATATATTTTTTTTAGAAAGAAACCACTGCTCTCAATATAATAAATATGTTGATGGTAAACTTTATTATAAACCATATAAGAATATAAGCTTATTGAGGGCAGACACCCTCACCTTCAGATTTGCTTCAAGAAATTAGTACTCAATAAATACTAGATTTTCATTAGGACGCAATTTGTAGTGCTTAGATTTGCTCTCTGAAGAAAAACTGTAACATCTGTGTTGCCAGTTCTGGTTTACACATTAAGCAGAGGAAGCACATGCTTACATCACCAGCAAAGTCAGAGTTAAAAACAACTTCCTTTTAAAAATGTATTTTTTTTTCTTTTTGGATCACACCCAGCGATGCATAGGGGTTATTCCTGGCTCATGCACTTAGGAATTACTCGGTGGTGTTCAGGAGTCCAGATGGGATGCTGGGAATTGAACCCAGGTCAGCCGCATGTAAGGCAAACGCCCTACCCGCTGTGCTATCGCTCCAGTCCCTAAAAGTGTAGTATTAAGTAAAAAGGTAATATTTCAGCAAAAGCACTTAGTCATAATGGAAAAAGTCTGGGAAGGAGATTAAACACAGGCCTAAGGCACTTGCCTTGCATGGGTAGTACCTGATTAGATCCCTGGCTTTGCATATTGTCCTTTGAGCACCACTAGAGGTCTCTCCTGAACAGAGAGCCCCTGAGCAACTCTCTTCTGGATATGGTTCAAATACAAAAAAATTGATGAGAAAAACTTGAAGGAACTTCTTTACACTTTAGACCTTATATTTCATTTTTTATTATAGATGCAGTGTGATAGGGGAAAGAGCAACATTCTCAGTGTTTACATTCTCCAGAAATCTTAATTTAGTTCTATGTGCACTTTAAATTACCATAAATTTCATGTACTAAGTATAAAGCATTTTATTTCATAAAAATTATACAACTATAAACCTATACCTTCTCCACCATTTACACAAGTTCATTCTTCCTCTTTTAATGTCTTCTCATGAAAACCTAACTTCTAGAAAGTAGTTCTCATAAATTGGACTTAAGCCAGTATCTCTTATCAGTCAACACTGCTATTATTATCATTATGCCCTCCAGCTGTACTAAAAGATTACATAGTAATTATATTATTTATGGAATTTACTGGCATAAAGGGAATATTCACATGTTCTATATGAAATGTCTAAATATATGTAAGAAGTTAATTTCTTGTTTTGAACTTGATGATTGATTCACAACTGAAGTATAATTACCAAAGAGCTTGGAGGTTGTGCTGTTCCCGACCCCCCACCTCCCCCCCCCCGCAGTAATTTGGGTAAAACATTGCCAGATTCTTCCAGCTTCAACTCTCTCTGCATGACTATCCAGTTGTTTTTGGTGTGTTTTGTTGCTTTACTCCCAGTATAATTACAGGAGCTAGGTACAACTGTTCCTTGAGGGTACACTTGCTAGAGGACAGCAGTAGTTGGACCTATTTTCTTTTTTCCACTTGGTTTCATTTTGACTACTGATTGCAGAGAGCAACAGTGTGGGGTGTTTTAAGAGCATATAATATAGAAAGTAGTTGTTAATCTCACATAGCTATGAGGTCAAAAGTACAAAGAGAATTGTCCGGGACAATTGAGGTCAACAATTAGGGAAGGCAATTCTTTAGACAAAACTCAGCCCCCATGAAAAAGCCGTACCTAAGCGGGAATTTTGAGGACAAAACTTTAAAACTGTCAGAAAATCCCTGCCAAAATCTATTTAACGTTTTACTTTAAAGTTCGTAGCTTGGGGGCCGGAATGATAGTACAGTAGATAAGGCAACTGCCTTGCACGCTGCCGACCAGGGTTCGATCCCCGGCGTTCCATATGGTGCCCGAGCCCGCCAAGAAGAAACCCTGAGTGCAGAGCCAAGCGTTAGCCCTGAGCATCACCGGGGCTGGCCCAAAAACAAACACAAAATCAGTTTCTTCGCTTTTCTTTCTCCCCTTTCCCGAAGAAATGGAATGTTTCGGGTGGCCACTCCCATTCCAGTTTACCTACGCTGTCATAAGTTTTTGTAAAGCTCAGTCCGTGGAAGACTTGCAGTCTCGGTAGCGGCCGTTGTCAGCTGCGGGGTGGGGGAGGGTGAAGGCCCCCAGGCACCCCCGCGGCCCTGGGAGCACGTCCGGCAGGTGCGAAGCCGAGGCCCGGGGCCGAGCGGCGGAGGCCGCGCGCCCACCGCGCGCGCCCGCTAGGCCTGGGCGCCCGAACTCGGACCGCTCGGCGGCCGGGAGCGCGAGGCGGGCCGGCCTGCCCGCCGCGGCGGCCGGGGAAGGACCCGCTGCGCCTCCGCCCGCGCTCCGCCTTCCAGCTGCCAGCGCCGTCGGCTCCGAGGCCCAGCGGCTCGGCAACCATTTTCGCGAATGGTGGCGCGCCCCTTCCCGCCCCACCCCGCGCGGCTCGTCGCGGAGCCCGGGCCGGCCGGCGGACGAGGCCGAGCCCCGCGGCCCGGGCCGCACGCGCTTCAGCCGGGGCCTGGCAGCCGGCGCCGGGCGGCGGGGCGCGGGCGCGGGGAGGCGGGAGGAAAGGGCGCGGAGCCGCGGGGCGGGGCGGGCCGAGCGCCGGCGCGAGCGCGAGCGCCGCCAGGGCGGGGGGCGGGGCGGGGGCGGCGCCCGGCCTTCCCGCTCCCGCGGCGCCGCAACTCGGCCGTGCCTCCTTAAAACTCTGCCGTTAAAATGGGGGCGGGTTTTTCAACTCAAAAAGCGCTCAATTTTTTTTTCAAAAAAAGCTGATGAGGTCGGGGGAAAAAGGGGAGAAGAAACCGGCACCGTCTCTGCAGCGGCAACAGAAACGGCAGTTGCTGGAGAGCAGAGCAAGAAAGGGAGGGAAAGAAAACAAGCAAAAAGGGGGACAACTCGCAAGCTGTCTGCGGAGGCAAAAGGACCGGCGATTTTTGGGGGGGACCAGCTACAAAAGAAACTGTCACCTGGAGCGCTGCGGCTCGGAAGGAAGCGGGACTGCCCTGCTGACTCCAGGACACAGCTGGCTGGCGGCCGCTGCCCACCGGGCAGCAGTCTGGGGGCACAGGCCGGGGGTCGCAAGAGGTGGGTGAAGTGGCATTGGCTGCCGAAGCCGCCGGGCTCTCGCCGAGGGGAAGACTGGACTGGCTGCGCCCTGCGACTGCGCCCGCTCCTCGGACCCGGGACTCGGCCTGCGCTTCCTGGGACCCTCCCGATCTCCGGAGGGTCTCAGAAAACCGGGAAGGAAGCCACAGGCGGCGGCGGCGGCTCGGGGATCGACCACAGTCGGAAGTCTTGGCTGGCTGGATCGTAGGCGGGAAGTTCCAGCGAGCTGCCCGGTGCCACCGCGATGCTGCCGCCCGCTGCCCCAGCAGTCCGGGGCCTCTAGACACCCCCCGCTGCGCCGGGCCCCTTCGTCTCGCTGCTAGGAGGCCCGGGACCCGGTGGGGCCGGCATGACCGGCTTGCCCAGGGCCCGCCGAGCGCCCGGCGGTCTCCGGAGACGCGCGCCGAGCCTGGCTCCCACGGCCTCTGAGGCTCGGCGGGGCTGCGGCAGCCGGGCGGGCGAACCCCGGAGCCTTCCCGCGCAGCGTTAGCCCGGGGCGGGCAGGGACGCAGAGAAAGGCGCCTCCCGAGAAGCCGAGGCCACCGAGGAGTCCTGAGCACCGGTCGCTGGAGGGACGCGGAACTGTACTCCTGTGAGCCTTCGGCGCTCTTCTCTAACCCCCCCAGCACGTCAGCATCCAGCCCCCGCGGCGCGCTCCCCGCGAGGAGGACTCCGGACTACCCCTCGGTGGACGGATGGAGACCGAGCCCCTCCGAGGACCTGCCCTGCAGTTGTGGCTCGCGCGACTCCAGTCGCCGCCGTGAACCAGGGTGGGTTAATGACTTTACTTGCCCCAACTGTCTTTCCTTCGCGCGGTCTTTTCTGCCCCCTCTGGTCCCTTAAAGCTCCGGACGCTTGCCGAGCAGAGGTCTGTAGCGCAGGGACGTGACAGATCCGCCTGCATTTTTGGTCCAGAGCGATCTACCAGGAGTATTTGTGCGCCCCTGGGTCGCTGCTGAGTCCTTCGGATTCTTCATAGGGGTTAAAGCTAAAAAGCGAGAAGCGGAGCCCCTCGCCAATGGCTCAGTTTTGCTGAATAATCACGTGTGAATCGAGGGGCGGGCTTTTGGCAGGCTGGTCTTACTAGTATTTACTACCAAGCTCTACTCCAGATTAACCATCCCAGTCCTTCTGTCAGTTTCCGATGCCATCATGCAGCCCGGTTAGGAGAAAAGGAAAGGGGAGGAAGAAAAACAACTAATCCATCTTTTCCCGATCGTCAGGACCCTAAAGAATGGCCGAGCCTTGGGGGAACGAGTTGGCGTCCGCAGCTGCCAGGGGGGACCTAGAGCAACTCACTAGTTTGTTGCAAAATAATGTAAACGTCAATGCACAAAATGGATTTGGAAGGACTGCGCTGCAGGTTGGTATCCAGAGAGGTGGGGAAAACAGGTCAACATTGTTGCTTACGTGACCTAGATTTCAAAATAACAGCTTTTAAGCTTTCTAGGGTACAAGATTTCACTGTCTTTAAACCTAGTTGGTTGCCATATTTTATATCTTTAAGTGGATCCAGCTCCCCAAAATGACGTACTTTGAGAAAAATCGTCAAATCCAATAACATCCTCCATGTCAAGTGGGTTTCAGGTTTGGTCTTACTTTTGGAAATGTTTTTTTTGTGTGACGGTGGTGGGGATTTTTAAGTAGTCTTAGTAGCGCGGAGGAGTTTTGCTTTGTTGCTGGTTTTTTTTAGATGGCTCTGTAAACATTATGATTATTATTTGAAGCAAAACTCTGCTATTAGTGGTTTCCGTACTTTGCTCCAGTAATTTACTTTAGCGTTAATTTTCTTGACTACTGGCTAGGGTGTTTTTCCTTCAACTGCTTCTAGCTTTGACAAACGACCTTTCCTCGTTTGGAATGGGTGGCCTGGGCTTGGGGACAGGATGTACATTTCACAGTTAATGTAATAAAAACCCACCCATTCAGGACTGAGAAGGAATAAAAAGTTAAATTTTCTAATCAGAGCCCTCAGCTTGTAGTGTTTTTGTCTCTGTGGCCATGCCATGGTATGTTCTAATTTTTAGTAATTAGATTTACAAGCAACAATTGAAGCATACCCAGCTGCCAAGTATTGTACTATTTTTTTCCTCCTCTGAGCTCTATCATGTAATTTAGTTGAAGACCTAGAAAAAGAAAAATGGCAAAGTATTCTGAAGTATTTGCTTTATGAGATTTCTGGTGATATTCTTATGAGCTATTCTTGTTCGGAAACGCAACACTCAAAGCTGTTTTTGTAAGTCCACTAGGGGAGAGGGTGTTTAGAGTACTTTTGTTTTGTTACTTACAATTAAAAATTAATTGGCAAGCAATATACTATTAACAGACCTTGTCCATAATATCTGTGCATTTTCAATCACAATACACCAATCTTGCAAAAGGAAGCTTATTCATAGGTTTAAATTTTTATCTTGTTACTCCAGGTAGATTAAATGGAGAAAAGATTGGTTTCTTTTCTTGTCCTCCCTGAGGTTTTTCAACAGGTTTAGTGATGATACAAATTTAATAATTAAAATTTTTTCTTTTAAGAACTCAAAATATATAAATCTCACAAAGAATGAGCTACTTCTCTCACAAAGAATAAGATCTTACAGGATTTTTGACGAACAGGAAAACTGGGAGAGTTAATACTTCAAAAAGAAGTTTTGTCATACATTTTTAATACAACTCTTGAGATTTTGTTTATATTAAACATACTTATCTAGATACTAACACATACTTATTGTGACTTAATACTATTACTAGTATATACATGTATATATGTAATGAAACACAAACAAGAGTCTCAAGGCTTATTTTCAGTATGTATAATCCTGTGTCACGTTTCCTCATAACTTAAGAGAGAACTTTCTTTCAAAGTAATTTCCAATATAATTATTTTACATGAACAGATAGCAGGTTTTTTTCAACAAATTATGTTCATTTAACTCAAATACAAAAGCTTTTCTCCTCTACCTTGTACAAGCTTTTCAATCAAGATTATATCAAGGGCCTTATTCGGACATTAGCTTTGCAAATATCCAAGGTGTGCCTCTTATTTTTTCCAGCCTAGGTTGTTTTTGCCAGCCTAGATTGTAACTGAAACTTTGGAGGAATGTTTTTGTGACAAATATCTGATTGTGTTCATTTTTAATATCCCAAAAGCATACTTCCTTGACGTTCTTGAAAAATTATGCATAATTTTTACCCACCACCCCAGATTAAGGGCTAAAAGTCAGCACTGTTTTATCAATAGGGAAATTTAATATCCTTGCCATGTTTATAATTTTCATTTATAAAATGTTATGCTTTCTAAATATATTTCATTGTTATTTAATTTGTGATTTTAAAATGTTCTAAAGAAATGGGTCATCCTTGTTTTTTCCAATGTATTATAACTTATTAAACAAATATTTGTGTCTTTATTAGGCAAACTGCTTATAATAGATTGAGGTTATTTGAATATATCTACACATAAGTGAAATCAGTTAAGATGCTAAAATTTTGAAGTTTGCAACGAGACTTTTTCATAACTAGATGTATGTTATAATCTCATGCTTCTTTACAAGATATTTTATAATTATGAGACCCTAATAGAGGCCTCTTATTACAGTGAAATATATTAAAACAACAACAGATAAATCTTAGCTATGCTATTATTTGTACTTTCGTAAGAAATTTTGATACATTTTGGCATTTAAAATATTGGCAATTTACAAATAGTTATTTCTAAATTCTTGGTAAATACTGCAAAATGAACTAACATGAGATCATCAATAGATTATTAAATGGATTTAAACCAGAAGACAAAGCTGCCCATGGGTCAAATATACAGTAAATATCTTACTCTCTCATTTTTTTCTCACTTGATTCAGGTACTTAAAACTTTAAGGAACAGTAAGTAATATAACAGAATGCCTGTTTCATTCTTTTCAAGAATAACTTCCATAAGATATTTCATATAAAATAAATGGCTTTTTAAATTCAGTTTTAGATTATCAATATAATAAAGTAGAACTGTTGCTCATTTAATGTTTTAATAATTAGTAACACTTAAATTTTCCAAGTGAAGTATTCTAAACACTGACTATACTTAGGAGCAAATATCAAATAACTTGCAAAAACTTTTGTTTTCACATGACATTTGGATATTTGGGCCTCTATTTGGAGCCAACATTGTGAAAATTAATCATTTAAGAAAACACTAGGTCTGAATTTTTAATAGATTGCTTTAACATGAGGTGATAAGATCTGATGTGTGGAACTCTTCCTTGGAGGTCTAAAGAAACTCTTTTTTTAAAAATAGATATTCATAAAATAAATTTTATCCACAATTGATTTCCAAAATTAATATCACAGATCCATTTATGAGCATGAACAAGCAAATAGAATAAAGTTCATATTTACATCTCAAGTTCCATTTATTTTAATAAATGCATGAAGTAGACAACTCTTTATGGGAGATGGAGAACTGATTTGTCAGTGAATTTTGCACAAATTGGACTAATTCTCTTTCTTTTTCAATTTATCCTATTTTCTTCTACTTTTACCCTCCAGTACTTTCTTTTCCCAAACGTCATATCGGTCCTCTCTTCTACCAAAAAGTCAGTTAAGGGAGAGCTGTCTATTTAAAAAAAAAAAAATTTATTTATTTTTTTTTTTGGTAACAGGAGCTCTTGAAGAATTCTACTATTTTTTACTTTGTTTCTAGGTTATGAAACTCGGAAACCCTGAAATTGCCAGGAGACTACTACTTAGAGGTGCTAATCCCGATCTGAAAGATGGAACAGGTTTCGCTGTTATTCATGATGCGGCCAGAGCAGGTTTCCTGGACACTTTACAGACTTTGCTGGAGTTTCAAGCTGACGTTAACATCGAGGATAATGAAGGGAACCTGCCCCTGCACTTGGCTGCCAAAGAAGGCCACCTCCCCGTGGTGGAGTTCCTTATGAAGCACACAGCCAGCAAAGTGGGGCATCGGAATCATCAGGGGGACACCGCCTGTGACTTGGCCAGGCTCTACCGCAGGAATGAGGTCGTTAGTCTGATGGAGGGAAACCAGGTGGAGGGAGCCGCGAATCTGTCCTAAATGTGGGGGGTGGGGGGAGGCTCTCCCATACAGTCTTCTATTTTGTCAGTAATTAGTTTGGGTTAATATTTGTTCAAACTCGGTTTTGTCCTATTTTAGCAGCTAGTTAAATCCTCTGAGACTGCTAAATGGAAATCCTACTACAAGTTGATGAATATATTTAAGCAGCATCTTTTTCACCTGCAAAATCCTGATTTCTAACATGTAATTGCAAATAGCTTTTACTTTCTTCTGAATATTTTATCCTGTCTTTTTCTGTCTTTTCCTTGCCAGTCTCAATACCCAATTCAAGACCCAACTTGGAGATCTTGGTTTTAAAATGGTTTGCCTTCATGCTTATATAGCCCAATTAAAACATTTTTTTCAAAACAGGACTTTTTTCCCTTTCTTCTGTGATTTCCTCTCCATAACACCCATAGAATTTGCGACCTTCTCAGGAGAATCATACAAAAGTTCATGTCTTAAATCTGGACATTTAAAAAGTGGACCAGTTGCAACAATAAGCATTCTATTAATAATTAAGTTACTCTTTTCTTTGTCTGCTCATGATTTTATTTTGTGCCTAGTGGTTATGCTTTAAAAAAATTAAGAACATTTTAGATATCAAATCTGAAATCATTTCAATGTGAATTATATAATGTGCAATCTTCTCTCTTTTTTTGTTAACTTGCGCAACTGAAAGACAAGTTTCAGAAGTCGTGATCTGAAAACAAATATATACCTTTTTTAGAAAGTCATTTTAAAAGAAAAGAGCTATTAAAGATGCTTCCCTTTTTAAAATCACAAAATGAAACCATTGGTACCAAGGCACACTAAAGCACAGCACTTGTTTTTTGCTCTCCTTTCAATTAGAAATGTAAAATTATAGATTAAAATATAATTCAAATGCCAATTTTAGGGGATATAAGTCCCATCAAGAATATGTAATATTACACATAAGGGTAAAAACTAACTTAGGGACTAAAATAACAAGTTTATGCACTTTCAGAATAAGTGGGCTACTCTTACATACTAGGTATCTACAAAACATTTTAGTGAAAATAAAATGCTTTAAGGTTAGGTTCAGCTTACATTTTAAAAATTGAGTGAAGTGCACAGGTTACCAAGAGAATTTTTAAACTGTATTATTCCATATTTTAAAAAGGTTTTCAGAAAAAAACTTCAGTTTCCATTTATAAATTTGTAAATGCTTTTTCATCTCCCACATGAACAAAAATGCTTTATGTCAAAGTTCACTCCTACCTCATAAACTCCCTATCGTTAGTCCAAAAATGAACAAACTACTTCCAGGATTTACTGAAGCCAGACATGTTTCTGATACCTGCCCTAACAAGGACCAGAATGACTGTAATCAAGTAGTTTTCAATAATTTATTTTTCACAATAGCACTAAATAATATAGAAAAACATTTAATCCTTTTTATTTGGTGCTAAGTTTCACCTTCAGTGTAAGAAACAAGATTTCATCTTCTGCCATCTGTAGTTACTGAGTAAATTTGTTTTTGACAGATTTGAAACTTAGAACACTTAAAGTTTAGGGGGAGCGTAGAAATTGAGATGCTTCTGAAGGAAAAGGTGTGTTTTGGGTTTCAATGCTAAAATCAATATATAGAATGTACTGAGTAAATATTTTCTAAACAAGAGACTATTGCTAAAAAATCAAAACATTTCTTGCAACTGTAAAGATGGACGTTTCTGAATTTCAAGTCTGATATAATTAATTTTCAGTATCTGCCAACTCTGCATTAAACTTATTCTTTTGAAATTTCAAATATAAGGAATAGAATGTTCATATAATGATATAGACAAGTGTATCTACAGTAACTTTGTTTTCAGGGAGTTGAAGCACAGTAAAGAGGAGTCCCATCACTCTATCAGCCTGAAATTTGGTGGGCACTGAAATATTACCTTTCTCTGGCTCTTCTCAGGAAATGACTGAGCTAACTAATCTAAGTATTTTAGAAATGAGTTTTGTGGTCCTCTCTAGGAACTATGAAAAACCCTATTCAAAAATCTCGACAATATGACAATATTCACGAAGGCTTTTGAATATGTGGAAATGTGTAGAATGGGAAGCAACTGTGGTGGAGTTTAAGGGGGTCTAATTTACAGTTAGCGGAGGTGGGTGAAGGTCTGAATTTATTCGGATGCAAAGTAGAGATACAAGTGCTGGTGACAGAGTGTCCAGAGGCCCAGGGAATGATGCCAGGGAACGGATGGAGGAAACTAGGAAGAGAAGTGCTCTCAAATTCAGTTCTTCACCAGGTCCGCATCCACAACGGGAAACTCAAGCTCAGCCTTTGCCCAGGGATTTGAACTGGGTTTAAATCTGGGGTAGGGGAAAGCACTAATAGGACCTTAATCCACGTTCTGGTCCGGAGTTACTAAGCAAATTGCAGTTTAATGTAGTCTGGTAGTCAACAGTTTTCTAACGGATACAGAGCATCTCATAATGTGCTGAGCTCCTACAAACACCGCCCTGAGTGCCCAATAAATACGATAAGAATTCTTTCCCGGGAAAGCAATTCAATTTGTAATTATAAATTTATCTTATCGTCTTGATCAAACGAACGTTGTGGAACGGAGTAGTTTCGAAATCTCAGTTCCCAAAAAGGTGCTTTCGGCTGCTGCCTGGGCAGAAACGGTCCTTGAGCCAGCGCAGGCAGCCCCAGCGCTCGCAGCCTTGCTAACTGCCCTCAGAGACCTGGTGACGAGGGAAAGTCCCCTCCACGTCTCCGGGGAGTGCTTTGATTTCACTCCGCAATTCCAAAAAGCAGACCCACGCAGGGACCTAGAGACAGGCAGGAGACCATCCTCCAGTCTGCGCCGGCCGGCTCTGTCCACGAGCAACCCAAGTCCTCCACAAAGGGACTGCAAAGACATCTTCTGTCTCTTCAAAACCCTCGGGACCAAAACTTCACCTCGCGGCTCCCAAGAGAGGCAGCGAGAGCCCGAGCTCCCTCTGGGCGCGCTAGAAAGCCCGAGGTGGGGGTGGGGAGCTTCGAAAACCGTTAGCTCGCGATTTTTTTTTTTTGCTCCCTCCCTCTCGCTAGTCTTTTCTCTTCCTGTCCAAATATTTCAAATCTCCGCGCCTTAAATAACAGTCTCCTTTTCTCTAGTTAGTTTCTGCGGCAGATTTGGCCGCCCGCTGGCCTCTGCCCCCCAGCGGGCCGGGGCGTCTCGGGACAGCCTGCAGCCGGCCGGCGCTGCCCCCCACCCCCACCCCCGCCCAGCCGGTGCGGCCCGGAGCGCGCCCGCCCGCCCGCCCGCGCCACGGCCCCCTCGGACCGCGGCCTCGCCTGACCCGGCTCTTCCCGCACCGGAGCCGCCTGAGGCCGCCCCGCGCCGGGACTCCTGTCAGCCTCGCAGCTCCACCTCCCTCCCCGGACTTTGGAGCCTCGCCCCGTGGGGCGAGGGAGCGCCGCCGTCCAGGAGCCGCGGATAGGCCGCGGAGCCGAGGGAGCCCGGACAGAGGCCGGCGACCGGAGCCGGCCCAACCCCCAGCCGGCGGGTAACCTCGGAGGCGCCCCGAGAGTGAGTGTGTGCTCGGGAGAGCCAGTGCGCGGCGCGGCGCGGCGCGGCGCGGAGGGCGGAGGGGGGCGGGGGCGGGGTGCGGAGCGGGCCCGGGCGCCTCCCGGCCGCGACCGCGGCTCCCGGGCCGCCCGACCCCCGGCTCTCGGTCGGCCGGCCCCGGGGAGGCAGCGATCCTCCCAGCGGACGGCCCCGACGACCTGGCACTGAGGCCGGGGGCCCGAGGGCGAGGGCGTCGCGGGAGTCGGGGCCCGCGGGCGGGCGGGCGGGCGCCTGCCCTCAGCGGAGGTGAGCTGGCGGCGGGGCGCGGCGGCTGGAGCGGCTCCCTGCCCGCGGCCGGTGCCAGCACTGCTGCTCCGCCCCCGTGACAGCTGAGCAGAGCCGGGCTCCGAGCCCCGCGCCCAGCTGCGGCTCCTCGGACTTCTCCGCGCCCGGACGGCCGATTCGGGAAGTCGCGCTAAGCTGCGGTACCCCCTGTGATTCGCAGGCGCCCCGGGAGCCAACACGCACGTTCTTTCGGAAAGACCCTCGTCGGGAAAGAACCCAGCCCTGCGCGTCCGCCGGGACCTCTGGTGAACCCGGGCGAGCAAAAGCACCTCCAAGGGGTCGTCTCGGTTCTTCAACAGGAAGATCTGAATCTTCAGCGAGTGTGGCCCTTCAGCGATGCTTCAAAGGCATCAAAGCAGATCGGGATGTTGCATTAGTGAATGAAGGTTCCAGTTTTTTTTTTTTTTTAATGTTTTGCCATCTGCTGTCATGGTCGTTGTGCGAGCTTCAGGTGTTAGGACGTGGATTTGGAATTTTCTCTTTTGCCCTTAATCCCCAAAGACATGAAATAACTTCATGGTAACACACCAGGCGAGCGAGCAAAAGTTAAGCTAGACACCAGGGCACCTGCAAAAGCACCAGTGGAACTCATATATTTTGCGTGTTGAGCTCTAAAATGGCTTCTGAACCTTCCAGAGGTAACATCAAGAGGAAGGCTCCGAGGAGAGTTGGTTTTTTTTTAAACTACACAGATATGATTACACTCCAGCTGTGATTATTACATTCCACCTTCTCTCTCCAAAACCCGCATCCTCATTGATCAAGGAAGAATTTTTGTATAGGCCTATTCACTAATCTGCATACAGTCTTTGACTCTTTCCCCAGGCACATCCACAACCCACCAAAACGGAAGGAAATAAAAGGCCCCCACAACCCCCCTCCTCTTTTCCCAGATCAGTTGTTTTGGGAGGAGGTGGAGTAAAAAACAAACAACAACAAAAACATTCCTCACTTAATTACAGGTTACTTAACCTCAGGAAAAAATCCTACATATGTGAGTCAATGATAGGATGAATTTTCTAGGATTTCAAATGATTCAATTGGTACAATTAAAGTGGTATCTTTTAACATTAAAATAATGGAGCAGTTCTGGAATGAGTAGGTAAGAAGCTATTAAATCTCTGGTGAAATTTTGAAGAAACGTCTGTTCTTATTTCTGTTTCATCAGTTACAATAGTTACCAAGAAAAAATTGGTTATCTTGACCATATAGAGCAATATCATGCGGACTGATTTTCTTTGTGAAATGCCTTAGTTTTTCTGATTAATAATGGAACATTGGAAATGTACATATCAGCAAAACTGGCAGTCTATTTTAATGTCAAATTTTTAATTTGGAAAAATAAACCAAATCATCACAGTCATATTAGAACACAGTCCAGTCTACTGTCTCTTCCAAATGTACCATTTGTACAACTCGCTTGTAAAGAAGTCTCTCCTGAACTTAAATTTTATGTCTTGGAAACCTGATTTCCTTCTGTAAAAAATAATATTTGGATATTAAGGAGTAGTCTATAATCTGTTCTATATACAGTCAATGTATAACATCTCCACTTAAATCTGCAAGAGCTATTGGCAAAAATAGGTTTTGTTACATAATTTTCTCCACCCATATATTTT